TACTTATGGCCCATGTACGTAGCACATCACACATCCATACATCACATGCAAGGATAAATTGATCCAATCAATTAATTATCTGTAAAGCCCATTTGAAGCCCATTTTGAATCCATAATATTAACCATTAATATTATCTAGGTATATGGGTTGAATTAGGGTTGATAGGTTCAGCCCATATAGCTTTATGTGTTAAGTGGGCTTTTAGCAGTTTTAACTATTTAAAATTGGGCCTTTATAGGTTGGGCCGAATTAAATATTTAATTAATTATCAAGCCTCAGGCCCATTGGTGGGAAAATTAGGGCTGACTTTCAGCCTTGATCGGACCCTAGATTTGGTCCAAACAATTTTGAACCAATCTTGGTTCGAATGGGTCTAGGGTTTGATCTTTAATTAAATCTTTAATTCAAGAAAATAATCTGAAATTAAATATTGATAAAAGAAAAAACCAAGAATCAGTCTATCAGGGCTGTTCGCACAATCCTTCCTGCAAAACAGAGGTTAGATAACAAGTTGCAGTTTCTCAAACTGCAAATCGCAGATAGTGATTCTCCCATCTGTGAAATCTCCTTCCTTGCACCGCCATCTTCGATCCAAAATAATACAAAAATAGAAATCCTAATTTCTATTAATAATTACATCAGATCGAATACCTATACATTCAGTCTAAAAAAAATAAAGAAATATTTTACAGACCAAATGTAATAAAATAATCCATAAACTGCAAAATCGCAAGTTCCCTATGCAAATCAAGAATTCAATCTCCTCTTGTACGAACAGCCCATAAATAAAGAAAATCATAAAGAACAATTCTAAACAATAATCAGATTTATGTAAAATTAATTTCAGATTATTCGCCCATAAATTTTGGGACAATTTCCCAAAAAACTTTATCTGCACAAATCGGGTAGAACGCCTTCTGCCCATTTGCGCAGGTTCAGATCTGAAACAAATTGGTTCAAGATTTGAACCATGGCTCTGATACCACTGAAGAAATGAGAGATCCATCGTATGGATGCCCAAAACTTGCGGAATAAGGTGGGCAAATTTCAAAAAAAAATTCTCTCCCTTTCAACTGGGAATCGAATTCCCTATTTAGAAAATCATATTTTCAATGATCAATCTTGAACCACAAACTGAACCAGATCTGAACAAAGGCAGTAGGAGAGAATTATACCTGATACAGAGAAATATTATTTTTCAATGGAGGTGTTCACGCCCAAGGAAGGATCCAAAGACTACTCCCACTGAAGATGGCGCAGTACAGGATGGAGCAAAATCAGCAACGTTCTCCAAGAACCTGATCCTTCACAAGAATTGCTGGATGGCACGTGAGCACAGCTTCCAAACAGTCCTTTCACAAAGGGCTGCTATCAAGATCGAATCTTGACTTCTCCTACAAAGTTGGAGATCGAACT